CCACGCCGCCGCTGTTCTTCATCGCCCCCGGGATCGAGAGTGTCGACACTGGCTTCCGTAGCTGGAACAATTTCGATCGACGAGTTAGTTGAGTAAGGATTTTGGGGAGGATTTTGCGATTGGATGGAAGGATGGGGAAAAAGTGTGTCCATCGCTTTTGTAGTTGGAAGAATTATTGATGGAATACGATAAATGATAATTTTGTATTAATTTGATTGGATTATGGCGGTGGAAAGAAGAGTGGACGGAATAAAAGTGAAAATAAAAATTATTGGAAAGTGGAGGGTGTCGATTACTTTCGTAGAATTGGAAAAGTTGTTGGTTGGAATTGGAAAAATCGATTACTTTTGTAATTGCAAAAATTATTGATGAATAATGATAATTTTGTATTACTTTGATTGGATTATAGCGGTGGAAAGAAGAGTGGACGGAGTAAAAATGAAAATAAAAATTATTGGAATCGAGAGAGTCGATTACTTTCGTAATTGGAAGAATTATTGATGAATAATAATAATTTTGTATTAATGATTGGATTAAGATGATAGAAAGAAGAGTGGACGGAGTAAAAGTGAAAATAAAAATTATTGGAATCGAGAGAGTCGATTACTTTCGTAGAATTGGAAGAGTTGTTGGTTGGAATTTGAAAAGTCGATTATTTTTGTAATTGCAAGAATTATTGATGAATAATGATAATTTTGTATTAATTTGATTGAATTATGGCGGTGGAAAGAAGAGTGGACGGAGTAAAAGTGAAAATAAAAATTATTGGAATCGAGAGAGTCGATTTCTTGGAAAAAAAATGTGTCAATTATTTTCGTAATTGCAAAAATTATTGATGAACAATAATAATTTTGTATTAATGATTGGATTAAAGCGATGGAAAGAAAAGCGTACAGAGTAAAAGTGAAAATAAAAATTATTGGAAAGTGGAGGGTGTCGATTATTTTTTTCGTGGAATTGGAAGAGTGTGTCGATTACTTTCATAATTGGAAGAATTATTGATGAATAATAATAATTTTGTATTAATGATTGGATTAAGGTGATGGAAAGAAGAGTGGATGGAATAGAAGTAAAAATAAAAATTATTGGAAAGTCGAGGGTGTCGATCACTTCCATAGAAATTGATGCAGGATTGTGCCGATTTCGATGATTGGATGGTGGGAAGAAGAGTGGATCGTTCACTGTGGCGGGAATCCTTCTCGTAAAATGTACTTAAAACGGAAGATGCTGTGGAAAATATAAGAAGATGGATCTTGGGAAATCGTAGAAATGTCAAGTTAAACCTTTACTTTACCTTACTTTAACTTAATTTATTTCGATTCGTTATATTTAATTTAGCTATTTTTTTTTATAAATTTATTATCTAGAAATAAGATAGAAAGAGAATCAAATAAATCGTTTTGCTAATTTTAAGTTCTAATATATAATAAATACCTACTAAAATAAAAAAAATCTGCATCAAATATAAAATATGAACTAAATCTCGCCATCATTATCGTTTCATTTTTATCTGAAAAGCTGAAACGCGAGTATAAAAATACGAGACAAAGGCAATGAGGTATCGAGCGCAAGTCGCACGAAACCTTTGTTCCAGTTTAAAAATGAAATAAGATCTCGGTGGTAAAGTTTATAAGAGGTGGACATTTGCGAAATCGAAGTGGATGTCGATATACATGTATATATATATATATCGTCGAAATAAACGGATGGAAACGTCGAAAACCGTGGAATTCGGAACGACGACAAGCTGCGTCGTTTACGAGTGCTCGTCGATTCGGATCGTGGGGAAATCCGGTCAAGGAGGCGATCGGCGTCGCCTTGGAATCTCGATTGGCGGAGATCGATTGTGTTTAGTGCGAGGCGGGGAATGGATAGCGACGTTCGAGGCGGAAATCAAACGAGTTCGATCGGAAAATAGGTTTATTCTCTACGCTTCGAGTATCTGAAAAATGCGAAAAATAAGTGGAAAATAAAATTCTACGAAAATGCAATATAA